AGATGTGCAAACTGTGATTCAAATTCACTTGAATTGCAAAAGAACAACTGCACGAGGCACGACCACACAAGAAGGGGTTGGTCACCTGAGGGAGAGGGAGAGGACGGTTTTTTGAGAAATATAGTCGTTTGTCCAGCTGTGACTTTGGCAGCCTGGATCCTGCGCTGATCCACACAATCAGTCAAAATACTGATTTTTGCAATAGTTGGCTATCTTTAGTTACCGTCATCTGCCTCTCTCCTGAGGCAGTCTCTTCCAGATGAGGACTTCTCTAATAAACACTTCTGAATCATCTATCTATGGCCAACACTGATATAAGAGGGAATGGGTGGTGCAGTGGTGTATCAGTGGCGAGTATCTCACAGCCTAGCTAGCGAGTTAGATAAATGTGTATCTCCATTCCTTCCTTGGGCAAGACTCTCATGCATCCTGTAAAATGGCAAGTTAATGGTAAGACTTTCCGTAAAAGGTGGGAGTGGCTGAAATCATCTTTTGGCGAGAAGCAAGGTTTTCATGATTTGGGTTGTTCTGCTTTTTGCTTTTATTAAGTTCCCTTCTGTTGGTTTAATGTGCCCCCCCCCATCCCCATCCCCTATAAAAGGCTAATCTCCTCGCAGTCAGGCTAACCAGGTTTGGTCCGCTTCTCTGCACTCTTGTGATTTATTTGGTCAGTGTCACATACCTGATACCATCTAGTAAAGAGGTAAGACTTCTTTCTTCTCCCCTTCCCCTGCCAACCTGTTAGTTTTACAGCAACATCCTCTACATCTCATTGAGATCCCTTCCCCCTTTCCTCTGAGCCTCGCAGTCTCCTACCATCCCCCTTTTGTTAGTCTCTGACAGGTTCATCTTCTCCGAGGAGGAGCTGAAAAAAAAAAACAGGCTGTCATGTTACAAGGGGACTTCAGAGCTCTCCCACTACAGACTACAGTTATACTTAGTCCCTTTCACTTTTCTTTCTCTTCGAGCCATTGCAGGACCTTCACTCACACCACCTTTCATCCATTTTCTGCATCGTCTCATTTGCTCAGAGATTTCTTTTTTTTGGTCTTCTCTGCAGTTTTCCTTGCAGGCTTTCCCAGGGACTCTTCACTGGTAGGCCATCAGAAGGTGTTTCCGGGTTCATTTTTATCCTCTTGATTTTCATGAACTGGCAGATAATTTTTTAGCTTAATTTTCTGGAGTTCATACATCCCAAGTATTCATCGTCTGTAGCCACAACCATTCTTCCCTTTTTGTGGCTGAGCATTCCTCTTTCTGCAGACATGCTCTTGCTCAAAGTCTCCTTACAAAGACAGACCTTCCCATTTGCTGATGCGGCATGAAATGCATTGGTATGGCAGGCTTCCGCAACACAACTGCTGCTTTGCAAGACAGTGTGGTCCAGCCATTTTTCCCCACCTCACCAGAGCCACACACACATGCCCTGACAAGAAGCCTTTGCTGCACTACTCCTCTGGTGGTAGCAGTCCAGCTTTCCACCCGAGGCAGCGAGCAGGTACACAAAGCTGCTTAGGAAGCATTCGCTACTTGAAAGTCTTTCTTCCAAGGAAGGATTGGGCAAAAGGCAATAGGCCAGATACATCCTTTCTTCAGGCCAGTGCCATATGAATCAAGCTAAACTGGCATTCATAAGGCTGCAGACTTGCTCCCTGGTGACATTACAATTGAAAGATCATAAGCATATTTGAAGCGTGGCATGTGTGCTAAGGACAGGTCAACAGACCTCGAAAGGTTACTGGTGATGGGAAATCATCCCTTAATCAAGATGGGTCCTTACGGGGTAGAAGAGAGATTGTATCTGGATTCAATTCTATTCACTAGTTCATCTGGAAATCAAGAAAAATCACCACTGATGGAATTCAAAGGAGACGCCTAGTTTGATGGAGTAGAAAATAATGAGCGGGACAAGATAGGCACGCAGATGCACGGTGGTTTATTGAGGCAAAAGCATTACAGCCAAAACTAAGAAAGAACAATGCCTACAGAGTGTGAGGTGTTTTTTTTTCCTGAAAAGCAGGTGCTTAAAGATTTTATGTCATTGTTATTGTGGGTGAGGAGCTGAACTTATGGCCTAGTGCAACATGTCAAAGAAGAGATTAATGAGGCCCTTACATGGACAAAAGAGCAGCAAGAGGAACAGCTTTCAGTTTCTGTAAGCAGAGCTGATGAAACTGGCACCACAATGTTGCCTACTCATCTGATGTTGACATCTTTAAAGGACTGCTAGTAAACTGAAGAGAAGACATACATGATCTGCAGAGCAATTACCCGCACCGGAGGAACATCTCCCAGATTTAAAAATTTCCACAGATGCAGCTTGTGGAAGACGACTGAGAATCTACTCCCCATAAAAGCACTTTATTCTGGCGAAACATGAAACCAGTAGATCCCACATCTCATGCTGTTTTCACATCAAGCTTTTCTGGAAGAAACACTTCAGCCAAACGTAAGTTATTGGGCAAAGTAACAATGTCAGAGACATATAGGATAGCAGCAAATAGCATAACTGAAAGAAAAGCTATACCTGTGTTTGGAATAATACAGGAGGTCAACCTAGAAGACCTATCACTTCTCTTGGACTGAGATCTATGATTCTTCCTACCCTCCCAACCACCTCCTGTAGCTTTCCTGTTTCTGCTTCTCATTGTGACTCTTCAGTTTCTCCTGCTAACAAGCAAGCAGCCTCTCCTGTTGAGAAATGGCTTTTATTTCTGCTTGGCTGGCCTTTTCTGGGACATAGAGGAGAGTAGCACTTGTCAGCTGCTAGCACAGCTGTTCTGCTGGCGGGACTCAAAACCATCCCATTTGACTAGCGCATGTCCTCTTGTGCTCTCTTCTCCCTTCCCAGGATCCCCCAAAAGACAGATAGGGCCCACCACACTCTCAGGAGAAATTCATAGAAGCTGCTGAGCCTTCTGCTGTGACAAGAACCACAGTAAACCCTCCGCACCCTCTGCCCTTACACCACACGCACGCACATCGTACTACTTATTTGATATTTTGACCACTATTACTGTTTGTGGCAGGTCAGTGGTAGGTAGATTTGCTGTATATAAAACCCGCTACGGGAGACATCAAGCAAAAAGGTAGCGTGAATTAACATGCCTTCATTTCTTTTCTTAGCAAGATAGGTAGGAGTTAGGAAAATCAAACAACAATGAATAAAAGGAGCCTTCCCTGCACTAAATCTATACAGCTCTTTTCTTCTACAATTACATAGCGTAACTTGCAAAATTACTTAACTGGCAGAGAAGGACTAGAAACACACCTCCCACACACCCACCAAGTGCCTTCCTCCTCTCTGCTCACTACAGATGATCCTTTGATTATTTTTTTCTGAGATTAAGATGCATTTTACAACCCATAAGAAAGAACAAGGTTTCTGTTGAATGAGAGCTGCTTAGTGACATCTACTTCTAATGACTATTGGGTAAGATGAAGTTGCTTTAACTCAATAATCAGACTTTCAGTGGAAACTTTGCATTTCCTTACACATAAGATGTGTTTAATTTTATTTCTGAGTTTAAGGGACCATCTCTAGTGAGCGTTGAAGAAAGAAGTATGTATGATACAATCTATAAGGAAGTACAAAGTTTCCGTTAAGAGACACAGCTACCTAGTGACACCTGCTTTTTGCAGCTGCCTACACAGTGAATCAGAGCAGCACCTCCCTGACAGAGCTACCTGGTGACAAGCAAGTGATTCCGCACCCTTAGAGCAAAGAAGCTTCTTCACATCATCTGAGAAGAAAGGAGAAAAGGTAAAATTCACAAAATGCAGTTGCTGAAACAGTTGTGTATCATGTACGCTCATCATGTATGTGAATGTAATGCTTTTTCATTTCCCTTTTGTTGCTACTCAGATAACTTATAAAGCAGTTTTAAGAACTCCTGCATCATCAGAAGTGGGTGTATGTGCATTATGTGAGCGTATGTTCTCAGTTTTATATATTTAAGTATATTACGCTGAACCTAGATTAGATTCAGGTATGTCTAGGCGCAGTTGTTGCAAAGCTGTCATCTCTAGACCATTGGTGTCAAACAGTTTTGCCCCTGTGACTTGTAATTCAGATTAAATTCCTCTGTGTCTAATGGAACAGAACTGTAGCCTGGAGAGGTGTCATGCCTAGGACTACACACAGTAGGGGTCAGGTTAATGATAGTCAATGTTCATTGTTATATAGCAGCAACGTACAGTGCAAAGACAAATAAAGCAATAACACTCACTTTTCTTCTGCTCTCCATTCATAAAAATAAAGGGGAAAGACATAACTCAGGCTTAGAAAAATTCTGGTATGTTAGGCTAAAAAAAATGATACTTGCCGTGATGTGAACAACACACACAGTAATACATCCACAATATATTTGCACTGTGTCCAAGTTATTTACGTCGAAGTAACAACACTTAAAACTCTGTCTCTGCCTATTAGAAAAGAACATGCATACAAAAATGACAAATTCCTGTTATTCATTTAGCCACTGAAGACAGCACTTACCGAAAACTCATGTCAGCTTTCAGTAAGCGTAATTTCATTAGAAGGAAGAGTCAGATGGGTTTTATTACTGTCTTCTTACAGTGATGTTTGCCTGATTGGAAAGGTGGGTGAAATCCTGAACTGCTATGAACAGTGGCTTTGCTTTTTACCTTATTCCACATGGGATTTATCCCTCTCTGATTTGATATCTGTGGTCCATATCTTTCATTCCTATTTGCTTTCCTCTCTGCCATTTGAACAGTGTTCTGTGTGCTTGACATCCAAGTTGCACAGTGTTGCAAGGACTAAGCACAGGCACGTTAAGGACAGTACATTTTGCAAATGTGCATATGCATCCCATAATGCTAAAATAGCTTTTGAGAACCTGTAATGAGAAGTGCACTGGAACTGCAAGTCAGTCATTGCTAGTGATTCAGGCTTGCAGAGTAACCACACGGTATTCACGCACTGAAAGTCGCTGACAGTTTTATATTCTTTCCTTCTCAGGAACTGGGGAAAAAACATGAGTTCTTCAAGTACAGAGTCCCTTGAAGTTGAAATCTCAACCTTTTATGACTATTACGATAATTATAACGATGCTCCAAAGCCATGCAGTAAGGAAAGCGTCAAGAGGTTTGCAGCCTCCTTCCTACCTGTTCTGTATACCCTAGTATTCCTGGTCGGGCTCATGGGAAACATCCTAGTCATTGTGGTCCTCTTCAAATACAAGAGGCTGAAGAGCATGACTGATGTGTACCTACTAAACCTTGCTATCTCAGATTTGCTCTTTGTTTTATCCTTGCCGTTCTGGTCTTATTTCACAATAGACCAATGGGTTTTTGGAACTCCCTGGTGTAAAATCATTTCGTGGATCTACCTGGTTGGGTTTTACAGTGGGATATTTTTTATTATGCTTATGAGCATAGACAGATACCTGGCAATTGTTTGTGCAGTGTTTTCCTTGAAAGCAAGGACTGCCTTCCATGGCTTGATTACTAGCCTTGTTGTATGGCTAGTAGCTCTTTCAGCCTCAGTTCCAGAACTTGTATTTAGAGAATCTGTTAATGAACATAATTATACTACCTGCAAGCCGAGATATCCAGGCAATTTCACAACATGGAAACTTTTTTCCACTTTGGAAATCAACATTTTAGGGCTCCTAATCCCTTTTATAGTTATGACATTTTGCTATTCTATGATCATTAAAACATTAGGTCACTGTAGAAATGAGAAAAAGAATAAGGCTGTGAGGATGATCTTTGCTGTCATGATCATGTTTTTCTTCTTTTGGACCCCTTACAACATTGTCATTTTCTTACAACTGCTGGAAATTACGGGAGTCATTAGAGACTGTCAAGTGAGCAGGAATCTGGACTATGCTTTCCAGGTAACGGAAATCCTCGGCCTTTTTCACTGTTGCCTCAATCCAGTCATCTACTTCTTCATGGGGGAAAAATTTAAGAAGTACCTAAAGATGCTCTTTAAGAACTGGTGGTTACCTGGAGATATTTGCAAGTGGTGTGGAGTTCACATCACTTACCACACCGAATCTACCAATTCATTCCACACACAATCTACGGGGGATCAAGATGCTCTGTAATGTCTTTCAGACCAACCACTGAACTCACCAGCAAGCAAACTGACAAAAGCAGGAACTTTGAAAAGCTAAGCAAATGCACATGCATTTAACAATAAGCTAGTGCCAGATAACTACTTACTTCAGCTTTGATTTCTGCCTCTAGATTTTCTGAATATTATGACAGAAGGTGCCCTAGCTGTGAAACGTGAGAGATGGACACGCAAGTTTTATCTGCTGCGATTACAAATCACTGCTTAGATGTTACAACAGCCTCAGCTCTCCGCAAAGCACTGTGCCGTGCTGCTTCTTGTTCACCAGCATCAAGATGGAGGTTGGCCTGCATGGAGGGGCAGAGGAGAGACAGCTGCTTGTCATCAGCACGTGCATTTGGAAAATAAAGTCATTTATTCAAGAAGGATGGTTATTACCACATTTTTTTATTCTACAGTTGATCTGTGTAGGACTTGTTCGTGCTGACTCTTAGCAAGCTATTAACAGTCCCTGCTATTGTTAAATGTTTCATCTCAGGGAGAGGATATACCCTCTGTCATTAAGGACACAAAATATGTTCTTTATGTGCACAAAGATGCAAAGCAAATGTATTACATTGTGCTATAGACACGTTTTCTCTTAGGTATCCAAGTTGCCACATATGCCTATGTGTAGGTGTATATATAGGCATTTTGAATTACTTTATCACTGTAATTCAGGATAGCAATTCTGTATTTTAATTAACACAGAAAATGTTTAAAATATTTTTGAATAAAAGTGTTTTAAAAAACTTATTTTCCAGCATGTGTGAATAAATTTGAAGGATCTTCGTTAAAACTATATCTTTTAAAGTGAATGTTCTTTGTTCCAAAAGTACTTAACCCCAAGACTCAATTTTCATTCATTGGAGATGCATCTGGCAAAACAAAAGAAAGTAAAAACAGAGATTGTGTAGAAACGGTCTGTCATAGCTTAGAAACCGCACAAAGTATCCTAGCATTTGATAACAGCAAAATGTGAAGAGTGTGATGCCCCAGCAGCCACTCACAGATCTACATTATATTAATCAGAGATCTGGAACAGGAAGGAAACTTACACAGCAATGTTTAGATTTTGGCACAAAAATAGTTTAAAGAGAGGCAAAAATCAGTAATGTGGTAGCAGACAAAGTAAGAGTTGAAAAATAGGTATTGGAAGATATTTCTGGTATGTCTTTTTGCTGGAC